TCCTCCCTCTCACTTGAACGTCTCTGTCCCAAAATGGCCGATCCACAGGGCTCCACCGCACGTACGCTACCGATCTACCAATCATTAACGTTTAAAAAGCGCTACACGGCTCTTGATTGGTCAAGCTATGATAAGATTACAGTAAAAGCAACAGGTCTAACCAATGATTGACAGCTACTAGTATGTGGTACATTATTATTGGAAAGATTGGTATGTAAATCTTTGTTAAAAACCAAGTTTACTATACTAATAGGAAGTTATGTCACAAAGAACTAGTCAATATTTTCAAGGGTTTGCCTGAACTTTATCTTTCTTGAAACGCCTTTTTTCATTGGTTGTTCATTAACGGTAAAGGTGAAAGGTCACCGGACGAGGTGAGGCTAAATTCTTGCACTAATATTTGCATACCAGGCGTAACGGGTATGGGCAAACAAACTGTCTGTCATGGTTCGATAATGTCGGCAATAATTAACACAATTGTATAAACTTCTCACACACTAAGTACCCTGTTTTTTATCAGGCCGAAGGAAACAAGTAATGTGTTTCTCGTCACGTAGTTCACACACACAAGCTTGTGTACTTGATTAAAGATAAAACTTTGTAAGATTCAACACAAAGAAGTTCTCTCATCTAGAGATTTCGACCAGTCACTCTGGTCTTCCTCAGTAGACTGACCCAGTGAGGCTTGTCACGTGGCTTCTTTGAAGTGTGACGTCAACACTGGGTCAAAGGTATCTGGTAGACGATGTCGCCCCCCGTCGCGGTTAAGTGAACGGTGATGGGCCTTGATGCTTTTTTATGTTAAAAATTTCATGAAAAACTGCTCTGTAAAGAATATGCTTCACTCCTCTTTCTGGTTTATAGCGTAGAATTTTCTAAACACAAGTCTCACTGAATGAGATGATTTTCATCATTTCACAAACAGCAGTTTGACTTGGTCCCGGCGCTCATGTGAATGGTGCGTGAACAAATTTGTACCTTGCTCAACAAATAAAACCGTTACACCGGACTTTAACTCGCCGACAACGCCTTGCTGATGCTAGTGATAATACACCGCTCTAGTGAGGTGCCGACCGTTGATAGAGCGCCGAGCGACCAAAAACTTCTGAATCTCTTTCTGTTAAATTAAGTATCACAAACATGATCTGCTCCCACATTTTCCACTGCACAAAAAAAGCGAGAAGAAGTTGACCTCTCTATGTTAGCTCAGTGACTAGAACGCTTTGTATTAGCCTAGTGTAGTATCATTGTATGTTCCTTATGTATGTATGTATAAGTCAAGTAGTGTATCTTTTGTCTACACTTTTCTACATACGTTTGTTATGTGTCTGTTATATCTTGATCTGTACCTAGCCCGTCGTGGCATGAATGTACAATAAAGGTATTTCATTTCAGTAATGGGATACTAGGGGTTCCATTCCATTAATTCACTATATAGAGAATTGTGGTACCACATATTGGGATATACAAATGTAATTCACTTATCCCCATAATACATATTAGCACTTTTTTATAATACTGGTTTATTTCATTCTGACCGTACGATACAGAGTAGCAGGGTCCCCGTAGGACCCTGAATTGATCTGCCGCATTACATAAGTTATTAAAAACGGTTGACATTAAATATTACAATCAAGTATTAAAAACAGTTAAAAACAGCAAATTAGTTTAAAATATTTACAATATATAGGTTACGATCTTAGTCATTAGGTTAAAAACATCAAGGTGTTAAAAGTAGGGCAGTTACACTGCTCCCTTCTGTTTCACCAGTTTTTTACAGTCTAATAGTAATACTTTCAGTGCTAAATAATCAGAGTTTAAAAAAAGGCTCATTAGTAGTTCAAACAAATTTCGTTTATAACGAATTAGTGTGTTTTGAAAGTCTTGTGTGTTTCGTTGTCTTTTAAACCATACATTTACATCAGGCGTCATCTGTAATTTATAAAGTCGTGGGTCATAAAAATCACCATTTCGGTCGTGCAGATTGTGGAAAGGGTCTCTGACTAATGGCTTTTAATTTGCGGTAACATTTGTCGGTAACCAGGCACCCAATCACGAAGGGTCAATCAAAGAGTATTTTGGAGTGTTGAAGTATTATACATGCTCATTGGTGTACTTGAATGCTCTTTTGTACGCCGCATTTTTACCACCAAAAGACATGGGATAGATTATACGCTAAACTGTACGTGGTGTGCACTGGGGGTTATATTAAGGCATCTAGTGCAGTTTTTAGGGCTAGTAACTAGCTTATCTAGTAGACATACTAAGTTGAAACAACACTGTCCCAATGTATATCGACATTCATGGAGTAAAAAGGCCCAAAGATCTGACGAAAAACGGTTACTGGAAGGGCCCAGAAAATAAAGGAATAATCTCGGGGCTTGTTTCTGCAGTTTGTAATACCTAAAGTACCAAATACCGATTCACATTTATAACGTGGGATAGTATGTGTCAATATCACACAGATTGCCTTATTCAGAATTTTTCCAGTTTTGCTGCCCTGAAATTGCATTGGATGCATTTTAAGAATTAATGGGCGTGTTACAAATCGGACAGGTAATATTGTTTGTTGTGATTTGTACACATTGTTACCGATAATGAGTAGATCAGATTAGTGCTGATAGAAATACATAATCCAATGTGAAGTGATCGGATTATGATACCACTACAGAGATAATCCGCTGAACAATATTTGAAATTCTTGTAGAATGTGGGATAACAGTAGTACTAATAGCCTGGGTGTCAGCCTTGTTAGGTTTATAATTAATCAGCCCGCTCCCATTGTACGCCACCACTGTTGACAAGGTAACGCGTAGCCTGGGTGCCAGACTGTTTCCAAGGCCTCTCCTCGGCTTCAGGACCGAGGATCTCGCCTAAAAACAGTCTGATTTCCAGGCTAAGGAATGAGCAGTGGTGAAGAACTAAAGGTAAGAAGGCTTTAGGCTAACAGAACTGGAAATACTCGATATTTCTATACCTCTAGTAAGAGTCTAGTTCTACTTACTAACGGATGTAAGTTCAATAGATATAGATAAATACAAATGAAATTAATGAGGTTTAAGGAATAATCAATGCACTATCTTACTCTTCAAGACAAAAAGAAATTCTGTTTATGTATTAGAGACACATGTTTCTTGTATATACGAAAGTTTGGGCCAATATTGGTGTTGAAATCACTGTGGATCAAAAACGACCCGTAGCGGCCCCAAAATCACTGCAGTAATAAGGCAGCAGTGTGTTGCACTTGATACTGAAATCGCCATGGATCAAAAGCGCCCCTTAGCAGTCCCAAATGTAACTGCAGTAATAAGACCAGCAGTTTGTCTCACCTGATATTGAAATCCCCGTGGATCAAAAACGCCTTTATCGGTCAAAAAATAACTGCAGTAACAGGAGAAGAAATTCGTTTCACATCTTCTTTAACTTTGGAAGACTTTGTTTAGGGCTCGAAATGATCTTGTACATACACAAAGAGAAAACAAATGAGTGAACATTTCCTGCAAAATGGAAGTTTTTTTTATTCTATGAAGCAAACACACAGAAAAAATACATGGCAGCTTACACTCCACTTCCTTGGCACAATCTTTTCAAAACACTCACTAATTCGTATCTTACTAATAGGTATTACATTAAACTATTGTGTTGTGGTTGGCATCCTATATGTAATCAGATCTATGCATACTACAATTGCACACGCAAAAGCAGCTATAGTTGAGAATTGCACCAATGTGCACCATGATTTTACACCTATTGCACTATCAATTTTATAGTTACAGCACTTCTAATGATTAACTAATGCTTAAACTTAACATTCCGATTTCTTATAATATTTGTGTCAGCTCCTTGTAAAGCTATATGATATTTTGAAGACATTTTGTACATAGGTTGAAAATTTTGGCAGAATGATGTGTTAAAATACAGTATACCTCCTTTGAAACTAGGATCTTTGATTGATAATTTAAACTATTTAAATGGCAACTAGAAGATATTTTTACATATTTTTTATCACTGATTATCAGTCTTACCTAGCTATCCCGCAGCAAATAAATTATTATCATTGGGATTTAGCACTGCCCTATCAAGTCCATATCCGTGTTCTTGGGGGCCAGATATATAAATATTCATGAGCTTGCCTTATTTGGCACAAACCAATCAGTGCCCAGATTACCTAAATTCAAAATGGCGGGAGAATGGCCTTACAAAGGACACTACGCACAATGTAATTGGCACTATAGTCAGTATAACAATATGTGGAAATATGTGGAAGATCTAGAAGGGCCCTAATGTTGTGCCCTTTTGAAAGGCACTTAATTAGCACAAAATTCCACACTCTACACACAAAAATATATAGTGTATAGTATACCTAATCTAATACAGCACATCGGCAGAACGTACTGCACCTGTGTGAAACCTGTCATGTATTGTGCATGGCACTTTAGCAGAAGTGTTGCTCGAGGTCTTATTTGCGCAGTTAAAGACAACATTTCTACTACTTTTATTCAAATACTGATCCTGATTTCGCACAGTCGCAGTACAATCCACCACTGTACTGCCTAAAGCTAACTTTGAAGAAGTTTGCATATATTAAATACCTATGGCAGTATGTTCTTTAGCTATACTTTTTCCTTATTTATTGAAGTTGGCCTCAAAGAACAGGGGCTGAAAATAAATTCTTCATGTAGCCTCAGTTCCAGCAGCATCGAAAACAAGCTCAAAACTACTTTCCAGCACTCCACGGATCCCTGACCAGTTTTGCAATAGGTGTACAGCTGTGACAAGTGTCCAGCTGTGTCAGGTGTCCAGCTGTGTCAGGTGTACAGCTGTGACAGGTGCACAGCTGTGACAAGTGTGCAGTTGTGACAAGTGTACAGCTGTGACAGGTGCACAGCTGTGACAGGTGCACAGCTGTGACAGGTGTACAGCTGTGACAGCTGTACAGCTTTAACATGTACACAGCTGTAACAGGTGCATAGCTGTGACAAGTGTACAGCTGTGACAGGTGCACAGCTGTGACAGCTGTACAGCTTTAACATGTACACAGCTGCAACAGATGCACATCAGGTGCGCTGTAGGCACGTGTGGTAACAGCAGATGTTCCTCAGGACAGGAGAGACTTTGGGAAGAGGTCCTGAGCAGCAAAACCCTCCATCACCTGCAAACAAGAGAGGTAAAAAAATTGGATTTCTCCTACAATCTAAAATGTTACGACTAAATGATTTGAATAAAGTTCACTGGTAAAATATGATATAAGTTAACCTACCTGTCAACTGTTAAATATAAGAATAGTCTTGTGCCATATCGCTGTTGCAACTCCTGAATACTGCTAAATGAGCTGGACAAAGTCGAAACAGACTCATGCAAGCAAGCCATAAGCAAATCTTGTACTTAATTTATGCAAATGCATTATTTTATTGTTTTAACACTACATTGTAAACACTTGCAAAGAAGGCACAATTCAGCCTTTGGCTGCAATGCCTTTTTTTTAATCAATAAACGAGTTTTGATTGATTTATATGACTGTGTTTGTATATTCTTTGAGTCATTGCATTTGATGTCATGGAAGTGAAAAAGATGTCAAATCAGTAAAGCTAGACCTCCTCTTCCACTGGTTTGTGACAGAGAAGAAAGACACTGTGTACACTATTTACAGGTTCATTGTACTAGACAATGCCACTACATGAAGCTCTTTTCAACAAGCACAATGACAAGTAAAATTAAGGTTGTCCCATAGCCTTTTTGAGGCCACAGGAGCAGTGGGCTAGCGCATGGTATTGGAAGGCAGCGCCCATCCCTCTAATTTCAATGCCTTGTGCATCCCCAATTGAAGTCAAGCACCCATTTTACACCAGGGTGGAGTGACGAAAGTCAAACAAAGTGCTTTCCCAAGCACATAACGTTTGCAATTTTGTTAACAGTTTAACTAATTGGCCATTTTCCCACCTGATACAGGTAGGTGTCAAGCACTAATATTTGGAGATTAATTAATGGTTACCTCTCGTAGACTGTCCACTGTGAGGTGTGGATGTTGATATGTGAAGCCTGTAGATTCTATTGCACTGCCATCGATGCATAGATGCTTGTTGTACAGCTGTTCCTGCATGTGGATAAGCATTGGGAGTGTGAGGGTTAAAGTCATCTATGGCATCATGGCATGTACTAAATCACAGTCAACATTTGGATACAGGGGTTTTCTTTTACACAACCAAACTAGTCTTACCTTAAGCTTACGTTTCAGTGTCTCAGGGCCCGAAATTAAATGTGGTCCAATGGCCACTGACCACTAAAATTTAGGCTGGGACAGCTAAAAAGACACTTTGGGACATTTTTGGGACGATAGAAAAATAAGGAACATCAGAATGTCAGCCCTTCTTTTGTTTATCAGGCACACATCCTGGCTTTTGGATCCGGGAAAAATCCCCCCAAATTTCCTGTCTATATCTCTATATCGTATAAGGTTGTATTTGCGCATATACATGTAAGGCTAACATCCTGTCTGTAGTTTCCAACTGTTTCAAGCAGGTGCAGTACCTTCTGCCGATGTTCTCATTCACGCACCATTCCAAATTATTTTTTGGCAACACCTCAGTAGTGGAGCCATTTTGCTTACCTCATACAGGTAAAAAATTCTTCTCTAAAAAACCCACAGGAATACAAAGCTGGTACATCGTATTATGAATTTGCAGTAGTACATAGCGACTTTTACGACAAGCCGACACATGCTGGCCTTTTGTGGCAATTATGAGTCAGCACATGGAGCTTCAGCAGCCAATTTTTATGTTTACAGAAGGAAAACATATTGTTTTTGCTCCATTTCTTCTTCTGCTCCAAACACTAAACTTTGACCTGGCCAATGGCCTCTTTTGTTGACGTCTGTCACCATAGTAACTGGTGTTGGGTTACATAATGTGGCAATTTCATAGTAGGTGTCCTGTCACCATATACATGTATGTCAATGTGTTTGAGTAAGAATTAACAGAGCACACCATATCCGACGATAAACATTATGCATTTGCTTTGCAAATGTTACTTTTCTAGTTCTCCATTTTGCTCACCTCATACAGGAAGGGACTGAGCGGTGTGTTCACGATGCCGCTACGCTGACAGACAGCCGACCACGGCTCCATGTGCTTCTCATTCAGGTCCTCACAAACTTCTGGAAGGCTGATCTGAAAAATAACAACAACTTTGCAAATGCATCATGTTTACATTTGCATATGGTCTGCTCTGTTAATTCTAATTCTAATTCTAACTCAAACACATTCATATATATGGTGCCAGGAGTCTAAATTGATCCTGCTATAAAATTGAAACATGATGTGGTATATTCTCGCCTGTTACACATACGGTGGCACTGTTTTATATAAATGTTACAAAATATTTGAGTTTACTTTTTTCTTTTGAGTTTACTTCTTCTTTTATTTACTTAATTCTCCTAACATGTAAGGTAACTCCAGATTGTACTTACCTTGGCAACATTAGAGATAACCGACCCCAGAAACTCGTACTGGATTCCAAAGATTTGCGACACAAATTCTGTTGTTTGGCCCTGTGCTAAAGAAATGCATTGGAAAAAAAAAAAAAACTTACTGTCTACATGTAAGTTTCTGTGGAGATGCTCTGCAAAAAAATACTGTAAATCTTGATTTGACAATCTTTTTTTGGACAATTGATAATTTCCATAATTTTGACAATTATATGTTACTGTGAAACTACACCACATTGCTTTCAAATGTATATATTCAAAGATGAGACAAATTTTTGAACAGAAATAAAACTGCTTACTGGTGTTTCCCTTGTCTGCTAAGTTGAAGACCTGTCCGCTGTTTCCGGTGTTCCCGAGGTGCCAGATTGCCCGACAGACATCCGTAACGTGTACTGTGTTTGTTCGCAGCTCTGGGGACCACAGAAGTCTCATGGTTTCTCTCAGCTCCTTGTAAACTGCACCAACCAGCATTCTGGGGGCTGGAATCACAACACATGTCAACACAATCTTTTACTGTCTTGTACACTATACAATGATAAGCGCCTATTGCTGTTCACCTTTCTTTCCACTTGTTCAACGGATTTCAATACGTTAGATCCTATAGATAAATTCAATTACATTCTCAGGGGAGGTAACCAATACAGTGTTTAAAACTTTAATACAGTGGAAAATACACCGAAGAATGTATACATAAGGATATGATATGATAGACAATGACAACATGTTATATTTTAAGTCAATCCATTGACCTGAAGTGACATGAATTAAAGTTGAAAAGTACTGACTTTTAGTGAATATCTTAGAATTTAAAGAGTCTGACTCTATTCGGGATACTGATTCTACCAGAGAGGAGTTTCTACCCTCTGACATATAACAGTTACATAATTATATATTGACTTACTGAGTCCAGTTCTGTCCCCAGGTCCATAGACAATGGCAGGTCTCAGAACTACGTAGTTTAACCTGTAGAAACAGAAAAGTAAATTGTACAAAAAACAACTTACAGTTACAGTATCATCAAACACTAGAATAAGACTGTTAATAATAAAAGCTGAGAAGAAATGATACAATTGATAGAAAAAACATAATGAAAATTAATAAAATTAATAAAGGAAAATGTTGAAGACCAAAGCACTATTACAGTACATACAGCAGGTCTATGAGAAACAGCCTGTGAGATGTGTTCAAGAGAAGCAGTGGTGAGGCTGGAGCAAAGACTGAAGGAAAGAGCTGATACAGAAGGATGGATGAATGAAAAACATCAATTAAGCTACTGATGTCAGGAAGAAGTGATGTAGGTTAGGGCCTCCTAGCAGCTAGCAGCTTGCTGTATATTGCATTATTCATATTCCTTATGCAACTAGACAAGCCACCCATCGAAAAACAGATCTGTACGTTTATTACTGCAATAACAGAAAAGCGAGGAGAAGTTGAATTTATATAACGATAGTTAATTTTGTATTTGTTAACCGTGTTCATTCTTATTGTTTTGTTGTGACCTGTACTTAGCCAAGTGTGGCAGAAATGTGCAATAAAGGTCTTCATTCATTCATTATTACAGAATCTGATAAGACAAGATCCAGTAAGAAAACACAAGATTACAAGATCCCAAAAGAGAACACAAGATCACCAGATCCAGTGATCTAGAGAACATCCTACATGAGTTTGAGTCTTACCCTTTAATATTGCTGATCTCTTGTTCTGCTTTCAGCTTGTGTTGCGCAATGTCTGTCCATGGAGAGATCTTACATTCCTCCGTACTGGCAACCTACAAAGCAAAAAATCTATCAAGATTATGAAGATTAAAGATAACAGTACAATATCTGTGAATATAAAATGCATAAATATATCATCTTGAAAATTCATCTGTGTTGGTAGAATTCATCAGAAAAAAACATGGCATGTACTTAAACTGCAATTGCCAACATGGAGGAGTTTAGCTGTACAAACCATACCAAACAGGCTGGAACTGGTTCCAATAGGCTAGAACTAGTTCAAACTGCTTGAACAACTCTGTACAAGTTCAAACAGTTGGTCTTTTTTACAGATATCAGGCACAAAGAACGTTAACTTACATGTGCTGTTCCCTGAGTTGTCCTACCTCCCTACCTTGTCTGGTGCATAGATGTGTGCTGTGGACAGTTCTATATACCGCCGTGCCCCCCTCCGGGATGCCTCCTTTGCACAGTTGACTGACAGCTTTACAATCCCCTCATTATACACCTGCAGTTAAAAAGAAGGATTTAAAATTTAAAAGACAATAAATATTTCATGTGCCTCACTTCCAGTTGCACTTACAGTACCAGCGGCCCGCACAAAAAGACTGAAAAACTCCTTACACAAGGCAATATGCCTGTACAACGAGTCCTTGCAGTAATGACTTTCAAGGCTCTGACTTTACTTCAGTGCCCATGTGTGGCTTTGTAACATGTTTGTTTGCGTGTCTGTATATGTATTGTCATGTTAAATGTGTATTTGTATTTACTATGTACAGGATTGTAAAAATCAGTGTAATTCAGCTTGGTTGACTTGTGAACAGGCTGCAAGGCTGATTTTATTAATAAACTTGAAACTTGAAACTTAATGCACTCGTGTATGATAATACATATAGAAATGCTAGATATTACAAAACCTTACTACATGTATAGAACAGCAACATATATATTGTATGTATCACATGTATACTGACTTACTTACTATGTATGTCCAGACTATGCATGATGTACAAAATGACTAATAAACTGGTGGACGTACCAACTACTAAATACCTAATACCAGCTCAAAAAAGAACAAGAAACAGTCATGCCTTCAAATATCAGAGTTATCAAGTAAGAATTGAGGTGTTCAAAAAGTTTCCAAGAACTATCGTAGACTGGAACTCCTTGCCACCAAGCACAGTTGGGGCATCATCACTAGAAAGCTTTAAACAGCTCCTGCAATTAAATGTGCAAAGATTGAGTGTAACAATTCATTCGATGTGTTATGCTGATGGGTGGCCATACTGATACAGATACTCCATGACCTCTTAGGCCACACCGCCTTAATTTTATGGATGACATCCTCTGAAGACCCCCAAACTAGTGCGCGTGGGCGAAAAAAAGAAAAATCCGGCCAAAAATAAAAATGCTACTAAACCACAGTAATACAAAGCCGGTATTGTGAACTTGGCAAATTACATAGCGACATATACGACAGGCCAGGCTTTTTTCGGAATTTATGAATCAACACTGTATGAATGTACTGAGTTCTTGAGTCGTGGAGCTTCGGTAGCCTGGGTGCCGTTCTCCAGAGTTACCACCGGCTTCGTTGTCGTTACCACCATGGACTACCCGGGCCTAAAGCCAGGCCAGAGCCTCAGAAGACGTGATCTTTTTTTTGTTGAGATCAGGTGAAAATTAGTGCGCGCGCGGATGTCATCCATAAAATTAAGTCGGAGTGGCCTTAACAGAGAAAACAGAAAACTGGTTCTTACCGGTTCCATCTGGCCCAGTCTGCCTTCTGACGCACAGTTCACCACTAGGTCATAGGTCACGTCATCATCAAATGCCCTCTGTACAGATGCTGCAAAAAAATTTTTCATATCAGTACAATAATCTCTCTCTCTCTCTTTGGCAGTTCAGTAATCTATGAATACTCAAAACATGAGCAGATGGGAGTATTGCTTTTGAAATCAAAATCTTCTAAGTCAAACATTGAAAAATCTTAACCTAAACCTCCAAATGGCTTTGGATGCAAAAAGGAAGAAACACAAGTCTTACCTGGATTTATAAGATTAGCTGACTTAAACTCTATCCTCTCAAAGACTGCCTGTGGTGGTAAAACAACACACAGTTAATCATGACATGAAAACATTTGTATGCTTGCTGATAACTCAGAGACTTTAATGCCTCCTATCAGCTTCCTTTCAAATTGCAGGTTAATCTTACGGTAAAAATTATACTGCATTGGCCGAAGCTTAGCACTGTTTTTTGTTGTTGATGATACATGTACCAATACTGGCCATTACTGTTTATTTCAAAAAGGTCAAATGTGAGATACCTTTTGCCTGCCTCCCAACCAAGCAGTGGCTGGTGGCACTTTGTCTACTACTTGCACCTGCAGGCAGGAGAAGAGAGTTACTATGGTTACAACCTGTTGCTATGGTTACCAGACTGATGCCTTGTGGGAATGGAACATCTGTTACAGTTGCCGGGGGAACGGTTTCTATGGTAACAGGACCTGATGTTTTCTTGGGAGTGGAACAGCTGTTACAGTTGCTATGGTTACCAAACTGATGCCTTATGGGAATGGAACATCTGTTGCCTTGTCAAACAGCTATTATTGATTTTAAAATTGAAAAAAAAAGTCTATTTGCTATGATAATCTTGACTTCCTCTCTGTAAAAGTGTACAGTTTAAGTTACCAGTATATCTTTATAACATTACAGTAACTGCACTGTACATATATGTAACGTTACTAGAAGATCTCTGAAACTTGGTAGATTCAAACACAGATGCACATTCATGTAGATAGACACACACATGTTGATGAAGGTTAGACATCCAGGTAAATTATGAGATAGTACACAAAAAATTTAAAAACCTATCCAGTTGCTTGAGTAACAATGTCTTGTGTATAGACACACACACACACACACACCCCCCAACACACACACACACACATGCACACACACACACACACACACACACACACACACACACACACA